AAGTATCCAGTCGAATTAAGTACATTCTCCTTTTTTAAATCGGTTAAATGATACACATAAATGTACACTAATTCATGTGTCATCTGTGTTAATATAGAGGTAAAGTTAGCGGTTTTGAATGTAGGCAAGAGGTAAATTCCGGAAGTACTGAGTTTTTACATCTATAGGTACGCATATATACGTATATGTCATACGTGTATGTCATACGTATGTATATTTTACGCATAATATGTATTTAATAACTATTTAGTAACTTGACAGCTAAATCTGCTAGTTTTTAAAGTTATATGAAGTATCTATAATTGCGGATTCAACTGTCGTCGTATTACACAAAAGTTCTCACAGAATAACATTGCCGTACAAATAATATTATTTATAAAAGAAAAAACAACTATTTTTAAAATAAATAAAATTAGTAAGCGATAAAAAGAGTTAAGTAATAACTTGTTGAAAAAAGTATTAATTAAGACTTGGAAGATATAAAAATAGGTAAAATACACTTCTCATTTATGTAGTAACTACAAAAAGTACAATTATTAAAGTCAACATTATAAATACACTAGCATTGCCCGCGGCTCCGCCCGCGTTCAAATGACCAAAAACCAAATTCTTAGGTTTTACATATTAGTATACTCTTACATTACAGTTTTTGTATTTTCTCTCAGAAATGAGACATTTTCCCGCGGTAAAAAGTATCCTATATGTTCACCCGGATGACCAGCTATCACCATACCAAACTTCATCAAAACCCCTCCAGTGGTTTTTCTGTGATGCGGTAACAGACAAACAGACAAAAATTCTAAAAACTATAGATTCGGTCTCTGTATCTATAATAATGTCTACTTCAATAAGATTTTCCTAAAAATATTTAATGTACAGATTCGGCTTAGTTACATTTTTATTATATGTACCGACTTGATCTTTCAGTAAAATGAAGCTACGTTATCCATTACTAATATGGACTCAGTGACATCGGACTACGCAAGTTTGTATGTATGTGTATAAAATGGATGTGTACTGAGCACAGACTATGGACTATGACGTGAAGTACCTACGAATATGTAGATTACTGTTCCTATGTAAGCATTTTCTTACATTTAGGCGAATATTTGATATTACAAATTATCTTTTCGGCTGTTTTTATAGTTTCTCCCGTAACCATGTTTGGTATAAAGCATTCGATACACCGAAAACACAAATTCTAAATAAATTTTTATGCGCGTCGAAATTCGAAAATATAATTTCATTAAAAATACTGTTATGCACTTAAGGAAGCGCGGGACAGTCACTAGTACTAAAGAATAGCAATGTGTGGATTTCTTTGCATTAAATAGTTCAAGTGAGATAATATCAGTATTAAGTACCTTTAAAGCGTTACTGAGGGCCGGTTTAATAACACCTCTTCGTCAAATAAAATTCAAAAATATATACGTTAATATATAAACGTAACGTGTTCTTATTAATTATATTATTTATATTTAGATTAGTGCATAGTGCACATACATGAGTACAATATCATACATTTTAACAATATTTTCAAATATTATAAGAAACCAACTCTTACGCACCTATAATTATAATATAACACCTTACACCAGTACTTACTACCGCCCTCTAGTGCTCTATTAATACATTACGAGAAACGTATAGTTTGAACTCTATCAACAAGCACTTTGTTTATAGTTCTACTAACTAGATGGCGTTACTATATTTAAAACCTTATACGTTGATATTTCAATCATGCACTTAAAAATATTTATAAGCTTAAACCACATTCAAAGAAATATTATAAAATAGTTCAATTATTTCCTTTTTACAGTTTTCAGTTGGTTTTACTTGATGATTAAAATATTTACTATATATAATATAAATGGTTGCTATAAGTTTTTAAGTAATTAACCAAATTTTTATTGGTATTTCAATCTAACATAATCTTAAACAATTACACTTTCATAATATACTTGTAGCTACTACAACATGTATCATATGTGTAAGATATATTTTACCTTTTTACTATATCTGCCAAGCTACACTATTTACTATTAATTTTATTTATAATGAAAACATAATGTTTATTTAATATCTGGGGGCAAGGCAGTGCCGCCGCCAAGTCTAGCAAAAAAGGGCACAGCCGTAAACTTTTCTCGGAGCCATTCAGACATTTTCGATCCCCCTGTAACTTTGTTGTGGATAAAGGTATAAGTCTGAATTTTCACTTACTAAGAGAGCAATCAGAGGAAACATAATAACATGGGAAATAGGTATTTACTATTTTAAAAAGTCCTATTTGAAAATACCGCTAGCAGGTCAAATTTATGCATACACAAACATAAAAAATGCGCTAAGAACGCTAATATTAGGTAAATTTTGTTACTTACCGTGTGCGATAGCCAAGTCATGCTATTTATTAAAAAAAGTAAAGATATCTAATATTGATAGGGTCTCTATAAAATGTCGTCATTTAATTAATTAGGGAAAAATTTCAAAAAGTAGTCAAATAGGTGATTCTATATAATATAGATACAAAATAAATTAACCGACTTGGTTTTTAGATTAGATCTATTTATTGTTTTTGCGGTAGAAGAACTGCGTTGCGAGACTTGCATTTTTTTACATGTCATATTTTCATGAGATATGATATTACAGAAGAACAGATTAACAAAGCCAAGTTTATAATATAGAGATAGGTAGGTATATTTTTATTTTACGGCTTAAAACATATTGATTCAAAAAGTTATCTCGTCACGTTTTTTTTTTCGAGAAAAACATTGTTGTGACGTTTGATCTATAAATTCTATTTACATAAAAAAAATTAAACGATCTCACTTTGTTTCAGCATTAACATATATAATGACATATAAAGATACCTGTTGCTGTAAATAAAGTATAAATCCGCTCCTATATATATCGGCTCCGCCCGCGTTCAGATGACCAAAAACCAAATTCTTAGGTGTTACATATTAGTATACTCTTACATTGCAGTTTTTGTATTTTTTCTCAGAAGGAGACATTTTTTGCGCGGTAAAAAGTATTCTATATGTTGACCCGGATAACCAGCTATCACCATACCAAATTTCATCAAAATCCCTTCAGTAGTTTTTCTGTGATGCGGTAACAGACAAACAGACAGACAGACAGACAAAAATTCGAAAAACTATAGATTCGGCCTCTGTATGGATAATAATGTTTATAATGTTTATTTAAATAAGATTTTCCAAAAAATAATTAATGTACAGATTCGGCTTAGTTACAATTTTATTATATGTACCTATAGATTAACAATAATCCCAGTCCCACGTCCAACTGCGTCTCGATTTTCGACGGTGTTTTTTTATAAACATAACAGTTTATATACACAATCAGCTGGCTCCATCAAACTATAAGATTTCAAAGCGTTACAACATTGTTCTCAACAAATATTCTTGCTAGATTTGTTTACATATTTTATCTATTACTTTCAATATTTAAGAGCAGGTTAGAATAATAAATATAAAAAAAAACTAATGATAATATAGAGAATGATAATAATGGAAGAAGTGATAGAGGTACATATATAGAGTTCGTAGGGATTGGCACTCTGGTTCTCTGTGTCTTCCCCGCGTCGGATATAGTGGGAAGTGTCTTGACTCTTGATACGATCTGTTTCTTAATTCTTATACATTGCCCTTAGATTATTTTATTAATAATCTAAGACATTGTCAATAGATCTGTATGAAATTTTAAATAACGCACGTCGTGTTCGCTTAATGTCGAAATTCGACCATTATCATTATTTAAAAAAAAAAACTAACTAAAAATACATAATCAATATTTAAAAAAAGTCTTTATCTTATCTCTACCTTTTATTGACACTAAAAGGTCATCGATAGCTTCTAAACAAAGAATAACAAAATGAATTGACAAATGCAGGAGAAGAGGTACTAAACTATATGCCTACTTTGTTGCCTATTTACATATAGATATTATATAAATATGTATATATAAAACATTATAGTATATCAATTAATTAGTACTTGTTCTAAATTTCACTTGTCACATTACCCAAGTACGTTCATATAATCCGCTAACAAGAATTTACAGTCGACTCAAATAATACCTGTCGTAAGATTTTAGATTAAATGTCATAAAGGCGTTTTGATTATATTTGATGTGGTAATATTTGACTAACTAGATTGATTTTAAAAGAGATATTTTGTAAACGTTGTGGTGAAGCATTTTAATAATAACTTATATGCAGCAGATAAAGAATTTACTATACAGGAAATTCTCCTAAGCTATTACATCAACACTAGCGACTTACTCTTGCTTCGCTCGAGTGCGTCTTACAACAGCTTATATGTTACTCCAGGTCATTGTCTACATATTTACAAAATTGCTTCAAAATCCGTTCAGCCATTTTAACGGAAAAGCCGTTCCCCACGTAAAGGCATCTTTTTTTAACAAAACGCATTTTGAAATAAATAACAACAATGTTAACTACTTGAAATAACGTTATTTTTTTTCATATAATATGTATTTAATAAGATCGAAATAGCCTGCGAAATCCATACTTAATTATATTATTATTATAGCGTACAAAAATACAAAACCAGCGGCGAGATTTGCAGTTTATATCAGACTCTCAATATCTGCCTATGTTTATTAATTGTCAATTAGACCCAGATTAGCAGCCAGACGAGTCTAGCTCGAATGATCTATGATCAATCAATTATACATTTTTGCGTGACAGCTCAGCATTTAAAAAAAAACTATTTTGAATGGCATTATAAATAGTTGATTCTTGATCAAAATATTCTTTTATGGTATAAGAAGTTAAATACCCACGTGATAAAAAAATATGATTGTAAACAAGCGAAACAAGTCAATTACTAAATTATTCGCTCCCATAATTGTATTTTACCATCTATAAAACTTTTAAGATAGATAATGCTAATAAACATTTAGTTTAAATATAATTTTCTTAGACATAAATAACTATATTATTAGCCTAAATTAAACTAGTTAAACATAAAAATACCTACCTTTTTAAATGTTTTGTTCGAATCAGGCGAAGGAAGATAGAAATCCACAATCCCCAGCAAACAATCATCACACCGACAAACATCACTAGGTAGGGACGACATCGAGCCGAAACTGCTACAACTATCCAAAGAATCCGTACGCACTAACTTTCCGGTACTCAACGCTTCCATTTTAGCCACTAATAAGGACTCCATTAAGGACCGAGGTCGTGCGGGGGACCGGGATCGTCGCGGGAGGTCTGGAGATAGAGTCCTATCAAGAAGATCCGGTGATAGCGCTCTATGACGTGAAAAATCAATAGATACATCAGGAGATAGAGTTCGTTGGCGTGAAAATGCGGGGGATAACCCACGGCGTGTTAGGTCCGGCGACAAACACGGTATGTCGCTCGAGCCCGCCCGTGACAATGGCGGGGTCACGCTCCGGCAATGTGACGATGTCATTTTCGTCGCCCGCATTGGTAAACTTCCGCTATAACACTACACTGGACTACACTCGGTTTGTTTGTTCACACATGATTTTTTTCACGGCGAGGTAATTAGAAAGTGGACACTGGTTTGAGAAAGCGTTATTAAATTGTGACATTGTTGAAGCGAAACGGTTGTTACGAATCTGTGTGCTTGTAATTATAATGATTTTAATTTAGAAAATTATTAAATATATGTGTGACTTTATTAATGTCATCGAATGTGTTTAAAATAATTTAAGTTATATTAAGTATTAAAAGTTAATTGTAACCACAATAAAATTATATAAGTAAATAAATATTATAATGTTAAAGATTTTAAATACGCACGCGGAGTCGTGGACAAAAACTAGTACAAGTTACAAAAGTGGGTGAAGCTTAGGTAGTAGCTGTAGTTAGCTGTAGGTCATTAAAAAGAAAGAAAAATAAGCTTTTACATTGCTTGGATCAAACAACGTCGTAGTTGTGAAAGTTTAAAGTTGTAATTTATGAAACATATGTACATATCTAATATCATTTCTAAATAGACAAGAAGAACTTTGAAATCTATAGAAAAAATATTTTCAAATTCATGTTATTTAGAAAAATAATCCTGCTAGGTTGTTTTGAAGTTTTTTTATGACATTACTATTAATAATTCACTTCGCGTACGAAACGCAACCTTCGCAATCCTTGTTAAACCGCATAACAGTGAACATAACCACAAAAAGTACTCGCAAACTAGGCCTATAATTTTAAAAAACTTTTAATTTATTTATAATATTAATTTAATTCACATGACTTCAAATTGTTCAGCTATTGCTTAATTTGTAAGCAAAAATTCCCATAAAAATAACATGAATTAGTCTATATAATAATTAATATTTCATTAGTATATTAATACTTCGGTTTCATTGTATTTACTCAATCAATGGGAATGAAATTTAAGTATTTATTTTTATTTATTTATTTATTTTAGGGAAACAAATAGTACAATATTACATAAATAATAAATTATAATAGATAACACATAAACCAATGAAGTTGCCACATATTAAAAGTATAGAAAATATATGTAATTTTAGAGCTTAAACCATTATGACTACAATAAAGAAAACTATTGCTTGACATTCTGCTAATGCTCAAACAATAACAAATTTAATTTTTACAATTGTATTGTATATTTTGTACTAGCGACTCACCCTCACTTTTCTCAATTTCGTCCCTAGGTATTGACACTTAGTATGGAACAGATAATATATATACGTAGCCATGACTTGAGAAATGATTGATTCTCCATACATCCCCTTCTCACCCCCCTTAAGAGACGATTTCTAAGATAACAACTATTCTGTGTCGTTCCGAGAGCCTCAAACTACTTCATATCTTTCATCTAAATTGGTTCAGCGGATTAAGCGTGTAAAGGTACCTAACAGACAGACAGACAAACAGAGTTACTCTCGCAATTATAATATAGTATGGATTACCCGTATGTGGGGGTCGAATCGTAGAATTGATTATAACATAAAGTAAATTGACCATTTCATGAAATATTGGCATTTCATTATATAGTCAACTTTTACTCGATAAATTATCATTCACTGTTTGAATATTTGTTCATCGACTTTTGAATAAAAAAAATATTGTGTCACTGAGCTTGAATTTGACATTATAGTACTGAGAGAAATAAAGGTTTTTGGGTTTAAAAAAGTTCATTCGATTTGCTTGACAAATCCGGTGAGTATTCGTTTAAACGTATTTATAAACGGTGTACGATTTTTAAACAGCAGTACAAAAGAAGTGTGAACGGTTCTATGTACAATGTATTTACCACTATGTATATATTCGTTAAGACGTATACTGCAAAAAAACGTGCAGGACAATGCCGTGTGAACCCAGTCTTAGCCTTCTCACTTACATTTCTTGTGTCAGTTTGTGAATTTGACACGATAAAAAACAATGTGCTATCAATACGCTAGCGGTTAAGTAATTATTTTACGATAAAAATATATAATTTTTGATCATAATATTATGAAATGGTTATACGTTTTTGGTTTATATCATCAAATGGCCTGTATTCATTGATTTACTCAAACCATACCATGATATAATCAACAACTAGTGTAATACTTCACAAAATGGTCGAATGCTTCCTCATATCGTTCCTACGATCGGTCCAAAACATGATCGACTACTCAAAGATATGATCTATGATACGGCATTTCAGCGTCCAGTTAAAATTTTATGGTGTAGTCATTAGTTTTAATAACTGTATCTATAAAAATTAAATCAATTAACTCATAAAACAAGTATGTAGTTGTGAATTAAGAGAATAATAAAAATAGACACGTACCTACATTCTAAATAATAACAAAGTCTTGATATGACATCGAATTTTCTTGGAAATCTATGGAACGAGGCAGATTTTGTGCTTTCATTTTTACTCTTGAATAAAAAAACTAATTTATTTTTCAAATTTTGTAAAAAAAATTAGCCTAAGAGTAAAATTACAATAATAATATGTTAAATAATGTTTAATACGAGTGGATCTCTTATGTTGCAGTAGTATAGCCTTTAGCAGTATTATAGTAATAAATTGTAGCAGTAATCAGTCTATTTGTATTCATATAGCGAGTATATTGTGGGTGGTCCATTGTATGAAGCCGTTTTGTCATCCATTTAATCATTTGCGAAGTACTATAGCTTAACTTTTAAATACGATATTTCAAAATCAAAATTAATACAGAACATACAAATCTCTAAGTAAATGAAAGTTTTATTTACCTGTTATAAGTTAGAGAGAAGACGCAAGTCTTTTTTTTAATGTTGGGCAATGCATTTACGTATACCAGCTGTATATATACAGGTGGTTATGTGGGACTCACTAGCTATAAAAGCCAGTACTACCCACTAAAATCTAACAAAACGTCTAACGTCTTGATGGAGCGTCGCAGGATCGCTTGCGCACTAAACAGTCTGCCGAAGTTTTTTTAAATATAGAATGGCAATAATTATTTTCTTAATGATTAACTTTTCGTTAATGCTTTTACAGTACAGTAGTGTATCTATGTATAGTACTATATTATATATATTACTATGGATAGATAATATACTGTCAGTATTAATTACAATATAATATTTCAAAAGAGAAAACCTGTTTCAAATATTAAATAATAAACCTTAGGATACGCATAAAATCAATGTGAAATTTAAATCGAAAATAGGTGCCAACCAAAGAAACATGCTTACTTTTTGAGGTCGATGCAATTTATTTTTAAATGAATGACATTTTATGTTAATTGAATTTAGAGGCAGTGTAATGTTATTTCATTGATGATTTTACTTATATATTTAATTTAAATACGTTTCGCAATTTATGTTGCGTTACAACAGGTAATGATGCATGATGGATGAATCAGAATTGTAGCCGTGTGCGTTAAACCAATCTCAATTTTAATAAGCTTTAATGAAAGCGAGAGTTTAAATTTAATGATAATAACTGAATATTTAAACACTTAATAGCTGCTAATATTTTTACATACTTAAGAACATACGGAACTACTTTATAAATTACTAGCAGACCCCGCAGCTTCGCTCGCGCTGAAATCTCGAACCCGCGACCTCTGGCACAGCAAGTAGGGTCACTACAAACTGAGCCAAGCGTGTCGTCAAAGAAGTAGCACCTAGAAAGGACCACTTGAGCGAAGCAAGGGTAAATGGCTAGTATTTAATAATGTGTTGAATTTTTGGTATTGAATAATGAATATTTGGTTCAGTCCATACAGTTTTTGATAGAAACATTAACAAATACACTTCTTTTTTATTACATAATAGTAGTCTTCCCTCAATTCGCTATGACATCAACAGTAAATTGGTATTTGATTTTAACATATGACTGACCATACATAACTGATGACTGAACACAGAGAATAGTTCCGCTGTAATAATTTTCCAAAAATATATTCTTATGTCGAAATATATTTTTCTAATTATATTATGATTTAGAGTTAGGATATTCGTATTAAGCCCTTTTTAACGCCCCACTGCTGAGTACAAGGGAACTCCTTTAATACGAGGGGGATCAAGCCATAGTCCACCACGCTAGACAAGTGCGGGTTTGTGGGCTTCACATGTAAGACAAGTGGTAATCATGTTGGAAATGATTTGCACGTGAAATAAAAACTTTTTAACAAAAAAATTAAAACCGACTTCAAACAAAAGCACTAAAAAGTAAAAAATAACTGATTGGTAGTTTTCATTTACTATACATACCTAATCAAATATTTTCGAAGTCGGTGTGCTTTGCTTTGTATGGGCTGGCACCGACTTCGAAATTATTATTATAACTAGAGTAATAGAAGTCAATAGCGCTTTGTTGAGAACTTTTATCTCATAAAAGTAGTTACAAAAAAGTACAGGTCGAGAATTTATACATATGAAATGCACAAATAAATATGATAAACTACCTTTTACCATGGGAAAAGGTCTATGGTAATCGATGTTATGCATCTATTTACCATATCTATAAATATATGAATTTAAATATATTCAATATGTCAGATTTATGCCAATTTAAACTGAATTACTTATCGGTAAAATAAAATAAATATCTTGATCTTAATCGGTATTTCCGCTTTAAAATATTCATTATATAATATGATCGGTGCTTTCACCAATTATTTTGTAATGATGAGAAAAGTTTTATATATAAAGATATCATTAAGTTATCTCTGTTTTATATCACTAAGTTTTTAGGTTCAGTTAAGCTTTACTTAAAAGTATTATAGATATTTAAAATTAAAAAAAAAATGACACTGACTTCAAAATCATTGGAAAGTTTAGAATTGGTTAAAAAGTCTCTGACATGTAAGGGAGACTCTTAACTCATAAACCTACGCGAAGATAACACGTAACAAACACACAAAAAAATACCAGATTGACTAAATTTTTTTTTAAATCGGTTAAAAATAAATCAAAATAAAAATACTTAACTAATCTACTACGTTTTTGATT